AAAAAATAAATTATCTTTTTTTAAACTGAGTTAAGATAATATTTTTTCTATATTAACTTTTAACTTATCGAGTTAAATTTATAATTTRTTAACTGTTAACTTTTAACTTATCGATCTTGTATCCTCTTAACTTAACTTAACTTGAGTTAATTATTTTCATTAACTTGCCCACCTTTGAGTGTACTTGTATTACAAAATAAACAGGAAGTTAGAATTTTTATTTGACAATATTTTGTTATTAATTAAATTAAATTAAATTAAGTAGTTACGAAATACTTGTATAATGTATAATATACACTATGGTAATAAAAGTGAAAAGTATTCTATATAGGTAGTGCAGGCACATATACAGGGGGGGTTAACCCCCCCAACCCGAATTCTTTTTGTATACGTGTCTGAGGTAGTGTACCTACTTAACAAAACATGAAGACCAGTGGCGTATTTATAAGATGTGGGGGAGATAGATCCTACACTTGACCTTTTTTTTTGTACCGACTTTCTGCCATATTGTTAGACTTGATTTTTTTCGTCTTGTAAGTTACAAGTTGTAACTGATGAAGTTTTTAARACAATATGAGTTRTATTAAAAACAAAAGGTGTAGGTGTCACTCTGCTGTGCAATAGGTTACGAGTGGGTCACTAAAATGGATTGTGTTAAATTTGAATTCTATAATGATATAATATCATTGTACCTATAAGAAAAAYGATTCTGATCGAAGTCATCCTACTTAGTACTTATGATATATAAGTATAATATAACTAGATATATTATATTATTATTATATGATATTATTGTCAATACTCAATAAAGTAATTTATATAGGTATTATAACATTTATAACCTATTTACGCAAAACTTTGTTTTAATTTTTCAGTCCTTAGCTATAAAAGTAGAACATTTTATAAATTTTTAACTATAAAATAATTTTAAATTTGATAAATGTAAAAATTTGACCTATGAAAGCTTATAAAACTACTATTGTAACTATGTATTAGGAGCTTTGTATTAAATTTTCAAGCTTTTCTACCCAACAAATAAATTTTGACCGATATTAATTTTAAAAAAAACTAAGAATGATCGAAAATTTCATATTATGCCTATAAGTAGTTTAACTTCAAACAAAATTTTTTGAAAATTGCATGGTGGATAGAATATACTTATATAAATATTCGGTGAAAGTTACATCAAAAACCAAAATCGATTTTGTCGAAAA